CTCTCTCTCTCTCTCTCTCTCTCTCTCTCTCTCTCTCTCTCTCTCTCTCTGTCACCCCCCCTCTTGCTATGCAGTTCAGGCTGGCCTTGAACTCAGGGTAATTCTCTTCAATTCTCTTGCCTCAGCCTCCTGCGGGCTGAAATTACAGGCATGTGACACCACACCTGGCCAATAAAATTTTTATGAAGGATTGGGGATGTAGCTCAGTGGAAAGCCCGTACCTAGTTCAATCCCCTGTTCAAAAAAAAAAAAGGAAAACAAGGAGGAAGAAGGGACGAGGAGAGGAAGAGATGAAAGAGGTCACTACATGGAGTTGAGATAGAATTTCTTGGAATAGGACTTTTTATGTATTTCTGGCTTTTAACATATTAAAAAGTACTTTTTTTTGTATTTTAAGGAAGGGTCTACAGGGTGTTCAGGGTCTCACTACTAGATCGGACTTGTAGTGATCCACCTGTTTACAGCCTCCCAAGAGCTGGGATTACAGGCGTGCACCACCACGCCCAGTCTCATTTGCCATCTCAGCACGCCCCGGGGGTGGGATCGGCATAAAAAATACATTTTCAAAAGTAAACAAAAAAAAAAAGCTGTAATTGAATAAGAATAGCATTAAGTGAGCCTTTACTACAGAAGCACAGAGAAGGGGCTGGTAAGATAGCTCAGTGGCCTAAAGTGCCTGCTTAGGCAAACTTATGCAAGTGCAGGGACCGCAGTTGGATCCCCAGCACCGCATACCCTCCAGCCCCGCCCCCAGGATGGGCTGAGCTGGCAAAAAAAAAAAGAACCATGTGGTGGCACATGCCTGTAATCGCTATTCTTGGGAGGCTGAGGCAGGAGGACTGCCTCGAGTTCAAGACAAGCCTAAATTACAGAATGAGACCCTGTTTTTGAGATGGATGTTACTAATTTTCTCAGGCTGGTTTGAATTTCTGATCCTCCTGCCACAGCCTCTTGATTTCTGGGATTAAAGGTATGTTTTACCTTGGTGAGCTAATGTGATACCTTTTAAATTCCTCTACCACCTTTGGCAGTAACAATACACAATGTACTAACCACTGTTACTCTCCTAAAATCTTGTTTTGAGATTTTGTACCATTGTTTTTTATTTTTTTCTTTAAAATAAAATAACTGATGTAAAAAAAAAAGAAATAAAATGCAATATAACCTACAAAAAATAAAAAGAATAAATTCCTCTACCTTAGCATATCTCTTTGTGGGAGATATTCTAAGGGCAGGGACTGGCTTTCCTCTTAGCATATTCATTGTTGATAATGGCAGGGATGGGTGTGTAGGACGCTATTTATTTATTATTTATTTATTTGTCTTTTTTCGGCAGCCTATCGCTATGCAATTCAGGCTGGCCTTGAGCTCAGGTGACATGTTGAAAGTGTTCTCTGAGAGCGTTTGGTAGGTCAGATGAGCTACTATATGGATGTGAGAACCTGCGGTTACCATTGTGCCATGAAGGGGTAAAGAAACTGGGACACTAAAACATAATCACAAAGTTTTGCTCTCAACTTGTGATCCCGTATTTCTAGGCTGTGTCCGTTGAAAGGTCTGGGAGCAGTGGCTCTCAGTAGTCATGAACACATCCTGCACACAGACCTTGCTTTCATTTTGATTTCGTTTGAGACAGTCTTGCTATTTAGTGCAGGCTGGCGTGGAACTCACAGCGAGCCTCTTGCCTCAGTCTCCCAAGTGCTGGGATCACAGGCATGAGCCACTGAGCCCAGCCACATCTTGGTTTCTGAATACTATTCCCCACCTAACAAGCCTGTCTATCACACTGCAGTCTCCTGGTGTTTGTGTGGCCATCTCATCCCTGGGGCTAAGCCACCTGCACATGGCTATGTGTGCCTGGAATGAGGGTCCCCAGTCACTTCCGTTTCCTCACCCTCCAGCCTGCCATCCAGTGGCTCTCCCTGCGCCACCCCCCCCCCCAGGCGCCCACAGCTGGTGCACAAACCCTCAGCCCAGCTGCCCCCCCCCCCCCCCCGAGCATCACATGCCGTTAGCATTGCCCATCCACCCAGAAGTCCTCTCCTGGCAATGCTGCAGCTGCCTCCTCCCCTCTGCTTACCCCTCTTCTCACGCCCCTTCCTTGGGAGAGCTCCTGAGATGTCACAGAGCTCCCAGGGCTTCCTGTGGACAGGCAGCCCTGGGAACAGCAGCATGGCTATTCCAAGTCAGGCTCAGGGACTGCACCATGCCTTGTTCCCATCCTGGTCCCTTTGCTCTCAGTATGTGGCTCTTGGGTGAATAGGGACGGAAGAGGAAGCCATGACTGACAGTCTCTTTGAGTAGCAGGCATCCTGCACACAGCCCTGGCCCTTCCATCTTTAGTCCCCAGGTTCAACTGGCTCTCCGAGGTACAAGCCCCACAAGTGGCTGCATAGCCATGTCCCTCCAAGGTAACAGAAGCACACAGGTCTCTGCTGCCCACAGGCCTGCTCCTCCCAGGCTCCCTGGTCTGCCCTGAGCGTCACACTGGGGTTCCTCCATGGAGTGCCTGGCGTGGCCTTGTGGCAGGATGATAGTGGGTGCTGTGTTTGTGAGTTGGCCTCAAGATGGGTGGGCCTAGAAAACCATGTTTACACTGGGCATGGTGGTCCATGTTTTGAATCCCCACACTGGGAGCCTAAGGCAGGAGAATCACAAGTTCCAGCCCAGCTCTTACAGGCCTGTCTCAAAAATGAATGAATGGGCTGGGAATATAGCTCAGTGTGAAGGCCCTGGGTTTAATTCAGTGCTGGAAGAAAAAGAGCCATGTCTAGGGTTTGTCTCTCCCGTTAAGCAGGGCACTCTGTCCCTCTCAGGTTTTTTTTATCTCAAAGATACTCAGAAGTATCTTTTATCAGTGGTCCCATAGCCCAGGCTGGCCTGGAACTAGTCATCCTCCTGCTTCAGCCTCATGAATTACAAGATTATAGTGTGCACCACGAAACCCAGCCAAATGGCCTTGAGCCCCTACAGCATGGGGGGCCTCCTAGTGGGAGCCTGTAGACCCCAGCCCCCCCCACTATCCCCTCACTCAGGTGCCCTTGATCTTAGGACACTCAGGTTTCCCATGGTGTGTAGCTGCTGCTCGCTGCTCCCATTCAAGAGCTCCTGGCCTTCAGTAGGCCCGCGGATGCACAAAGCAGCCACCCCAGCCCGCCCCCACCCCCGGCCATGGAACAATCGCACACACAAGCCAGTGTGACCAGTGACACGATAGTGTTTATTTGCTGGGGCATCTGAGACAGAAGCTACACTACAGAAACGAGAGCTCCTTGGAGGGGTGGCCTGGGATGAAGCAGGAAGTGGAGAAAGTGGAGGGAGGTGGAAGAGGCTGGGAATCTAGTCAAACTGTTCATCCGTTGTGGCTCACCAGGAAGTTTCCTTTATTGTTCAACCAGTTACTGGCAACCGAAAGCAGCCTCGCTCAGAGTTCTTTGTGGCTCAGTTTCCCGCACACGCACACGCACACGCACACCTTTAGTGCTCTTCTCAGAACACATTCCCTGACTGCAAAGAAACAACAGCATCACGAGTTATGCAATCTCACCAGCTCCCTGCTGCATGGTATTCCCAGCAGTGATGTCACCTTCCCCACATGGGGACCCAGTGACACTTCACCAAGATCCAGGCAGGTGCAGCTGCCTCCAAGGGGCCTGTGCTGATGGAGGGCATCCATGTCCTGGTGCCCACACCTTCACCCCCTCCCAACACCCTGAGCTTCCCTTGGAGGTGGCGAGGGGGTTTGAAGGAGACACACACGGCGGGGGCAACGCCGGGCACCACTGTCTTGCTCAATCACCTGCCTGCCAAAGAGGTGAGAACCACCGCTTCAAGCAAGACAGGTAAGCAGGGGCCCAGAGAAAAGCCGTGTCCCTGAGAGCCAGGATCCCTCCTGTCCAGCCCATGCTTAACTATGGCTTCACTTCAAATTCGGTTTGTCACTGAACATAAATAAGGTTGAAGGTCCCTGCAGAGTTCCCACCCTGGGCTGGGGAAGGAGGAAAGGAAGGAATTCAGGTTGCTCTAAGATGGCTGGCACTGAAATGGCATATAGCAACTTGCTCCAAGTCATGCCACAGGGGCGTGTGACTCTCCAACTCCCTAGATCACATGCCACACAGACTGCAGCAGCCAGGGACAAGGAGTGGCTGGCCCCTGGCCTCTGTGGAGGTTTGCAGCAGAGGTCAGGAGAGTGCACTGGGTAGCAGTGGCCACCTGTTCCTGTTGGGCCTGGCTGGGTCACAGGAGGTACAGACATGGTATCCCAAAACCCACCCTCCCTGCCACACACCTTCTCTCCCCAGGCACTTGTCCACGTTACTGCCGGGCCCTTCCACTGTGCTGGCTCACCTCTGCTGCAGGGTGGGAGAGAAGCCAGGCGAAGAAGGGCCGTGAGGGGCGCCTAGCACGTAGCAAGAGCTGGGCACACTCCGGCTGTTACTATCAGGAGCCAAACTGCAACATGAGATCACATTTAATGCAACATGCAGCTGTGGTCTGGCCTCAAGCTCCTCCCTGACATCCGGGAATGCTATTTGGAGAACCCCTTCTCTACAGCTTCAGTCCCTTCTGGGTGCAGGAAGCGGCTGGCCAGGCGTTCAATGTCATCCAGTGTCAGTCGGCTCAAGGACCTGTCATAATCCTGAGAAGAGAAGGCCAGGAGGATGGGGGTGTGCCGTGGGAAACGGCAGGTCTGTGCTGGGGCATGGGCTGGCTGGCAGCAGCTAGCCCTCAACAGGCAGGGTAACCTCACCCTCTGCAGTTGTTCCAGGACCCTGCTGGCATCTGCAGCACTGAAGTGGCGGGCCAGGACTTTGGCCACTAGTTGCCAAACAGGTGTTGGTGTGGGTTCGGCCACGATCCGGGCGGCCCCTTCTTCTAGCAGCACCTTTTCCAGAGGTTTCACTACTAGGTTGAGCTTGGCATTGGGCCCGATGCTGTAGTCTGACAGTCGTTTCCCATCTGTCCAAGAAAGACTAGTGGAGTTCCTTACCTACAGCTGTGGGGGTGGTGCCGGAAGCTGCGGACGCTTCCCTGGAGCAGCCAGGGCGGTGCGCTGTGGGATCTGCGGATGGTGACTTGGACCGCGGTCCGAAAGCCCGGATCTGTCACTCTGCTACCCGGCAGCCCGCACACCCCTCACACCCGGTCCCCAGCCTCGGGTGGGGCTCCTGGGCGCCTCCTCTCGGGATACCTGCTAGGGCCTTGCCCTTGAACAGCAGCCGCTGCTGGCGCACAGGGACATTCAGCTTCTCTGAGACCAGCTGCTTCACTGTGGTCACCAGCTCGTCCTCTGGCACCTGGCCGGGCGAGGGAAAAGGCAGGGGTGAGCTGAGGCTCCGGGGAGCAGCCACCTCACATCCGATCATCTGGGCAGCTCTCTGGGCCCCCCAGGCCCCCTCTCCCCCCCCCCAACCCCGTCGCATCCAGATGTCAGGCCACGGTGAACGCCAGATCTGGGCCCAGAGCCCCTACCTGCAGGGTGCACTCGCGGCCCTGGAGCGCCTTCACCGTCAGCTGCATGGCGACCGCAGCAGTGTCCACTAAGGCCGACGCGCACCCAACGGCCTCCCGCCGCGCGCCGCCGCCCTAGGCGCGCGCCGGAACCGCCCGCCGCCGGAAGCTGCGAGAGGGGCGCGCCCGGTGCCCGCGCCTCACAGTCCCCAGGCCCCGCCCCTCCAGTGGGCGGGGATTACCCGGGACTAGGGTGCGCGGAAACGCACCCAGACTGCCAGGACGTGGAAGAGGATTGAGGTGGGCTGGGGCTCTGGAGAAGGACCAGGAAGTCAGCTGGGCCTGGGGCCAGACTGGCCAACCCTAAGCTTGCACTGTGCCGGTGAGGTGGGTTGATAACCTGGGTTGTCAGTGACAGAAAGAGCCCAGCCTGCCAAGCTTGCCCACTGCCAGAAGACTTCCTGTCTGTTCCTTTGAACCAGTCTGCCACCCCGGGCCGAGGACAGGGAGGGGATCCACAAGAACAGAGGGCCAGAGCCTGGCCACCAAGGCCACTCGCCTACCCTGCATACACCTTCCCAGGGCGCATCCCTCCTGCCAACCCAGACCCCAGGGGCAGACAGAGACTGGAAGGGACCCCAAGCTTGTGCCTTTCTTTTATTGAAATATATTTTTCTGGGCACTGCCCACCTACCTAACTTAGTATGGCCTCTTTGGCACTGAAAGCTGAAGAATAAAAAACCAGTAAAAAAAATAAGCCTGGATTGGTCTGAGTGCATAGTGCATGAGAACTAAAGGCCTTTGGTACACAGAAACCTGGGGACAGTGGGCAGGGAGAGAGGCCGTGGCCTCATGGGACTGGCAACAGGCTGCTATAGATGAAGTGGCCGATGACCAGGGCCAGCATCTCAGAGGTCCCACTCAGTGCCACAATGAAGGGGGCCTGGGAGGCATAGTCTGCCTGGAGGCGGTGGAGGGACAGCTGCAGCATGGCCAAAGCCAGCAGGCTGTTCTGAACCCCAACCTCGAGGCTTACTGTTCGCCTCTGTGCCACCGGCAGCCTCAGGCAGGTGGCCAGGCAGTAGCCCACCAAGAGGCCCACCAGGGGCACTGTGAGGCCCACCAGGACGATGGGCAGCCTGACTCCTGCCAGGATAGAGACCCCCATACGGTAGGCCAGGAAGAGGCCACCCAGCAGCAGCACGAAGCTGAAGGGCTTGATGACGTGCAGCAGTAGCTGGGAGAACCTGGGCAGCTTGGACTTGATCACCGCGCCTGCAGTTATGGGGATGGCAATGAACAGCAGGGTGCCCAGGATCTTGGAGACTGGCACATGCAGTGTTTCGTGGATGCTGAGCAGGTGGCTGTAGATGGCAGAGGACAGTGGCAGGAACCCAGTGGCGGCCACTGTTGAGATGACAGTCATGGAGATGGCCAGCGTGACATCCCCTCCAAGAAGAAGGCTAAAGAGGTAGCTGCCCCCACCACCGGGTGACGAGCAGGTAATGATGAGGCCCAGAGCCAGGGCCTTGGGCAGCATGAAGACCTTGGCCATCAGGAAGGCGTAAAAAGGCATGATGAGGAACTGGCCCAGGAGGCCCAGCAGCACGGGCTGGGGGCTCTGTAGGAGCCCCTTGAGGACCTCGAGTTCCACTTTGCACCCAAATGAACACTTGTTGACAAAGATGAGCGGCAAGAGCAGGTAGAGTATCGGGTTCTCTGAGAAATGGGCCAGGTCAGCGGTGAGCGCAGCAGGGGTGTCTTCTGCTGGCGAGACCTTGATGCAGAAATCTGCCCGCTCCTCGATCAGCATGGGCGGGGCCTCACGAGCGTCCACGAGCTGGATTCGCAGTGGCGCCAGCCCAGCCAGGCCTGAGTGGATGCTCACCACAAAGCCACCCCCGCCGCTCCACTCGATGGCACTCACGTTCTTGATAGTCAGCACCTCCGTGTCCAGGGATGTGACCTTTAGGGTGGGGCTGGTCAAGGTCCCATTGGCCTGGCCCCGGTACTGGCTGGAGATCACAATGATGCCCTCACTCTCCTCGGGGAACTCAAACTCCACCACAGAGCCATCCCCAATGCTCAGGTAGCGGCCCCCCGCGAGGGGCACTGTGCGGCCCAGAGCAGTGCTGACATTGGCAATGGCTGTGCTCTGGGTCCCCTGTGGAAGGCAAAGGAGCAGCAGGACGGCTCCCAGCACGCTCAACGGGCCCAAGCCTCCTCCTGCCAGGCCCTGGCCGGCCTGCTGGGGGCCCTTGCCCTTCCCCCACAGCATAGCTCTCGCCTGAGGACACGGTGCCCAGCCCTCTGCAGCTCAGGAGAGTGCCCCTGTCGGTGCTGTGGGCTCCTCCTGAGAAGGGTCCATGGGCTGTGCTGGTTCCATGCTGCCTGCCTCAAGGGCACGGCTTTCCCTGAGGAGGGGGAGGGCCAGAGGGGCAGTTGGTAAAGGTGAATGCCTCTGATCTCAGGAGCCAGGGCATGTGCAAGTCCACCACTGGGAGAGTGAGCAAGACCCTTGCCCCAAGCTCAGATATGGAAACGCAACGTCCTGTGCTGACCCTGGTGCCACGTCGCTGCCCCTCCCCTGGCATGGCTGTCTTAAGCTCCCCTAGCGCCATCAGGGGAGGCCTTAGTCCCTGCTCCCATTTGGCTTGCTGCTCTAGCTGCTTCCTCTCCTGGGGTCCCACAGGGGCCTCTTGGGGATGTTCTCATTCAAGGGACTCAGGAGGGCCACCTTCGGTCCTATCACCACCAACACATTCCTCACTGGCTCCAAGATGCGCGTAGGGGTGGGTGTGGGGGTACACTTGTAATCTTAACACTCGGAAGGCTGAGGCAGGAGGACTGCAAGTTCAAACCCAGCCTGTGCAATTTAGCAAGACCCTGTCTCAAAACAAAAATACAAACCAAAGGGCTGGGTATAGCTCGGTGTGTAGGCTCAGGGTTCAATCTCCAGAACTGAAACAAACCAAAAAAAAACAAACAAAGCAATGAGGTACAGCAGGGCTGCATCAATAGTGCAGTTGGGGTAAAATCTTTCTGGGGGTTCCAGGTGGAACAAGGGGACCCACCAGCACAGGACAGAGGATATGTTCATGGGTTAGGTCCAGGACACTTCCGGAGAGCAGGTTAAGAGTTGAAAAAGCTGTGTGGCAGTGAGCGGCCACTGGTGTGCACACTAGCCTGCCCTGTGGTGGCGAGACCAAGTCCTGGGGTCCACCTTCCCTGAGGAAGTTGCCAGGATTGAGTCAGAGGGTGTCATGGGGCCTCTTCTCTGGCAGCCCCAGAACCTGAGTCCCTGGAGCTGCTCAGCCCATCTGAGCATCCCCTCTGTGCATGCCCTCCCAGCACCTCAGATTCCCAAGCAGACTTGGGCTTTCCAGAGGGGCAGAGCGTCCAACCACCACCCTGGTGTCACACGAGCTGCTAGAACTGGGGCAACCAGAACCTGGACTCCGTGTTTTCACCTCTGCTGCCAGTTGTCCCGTGCTCTGTAGTGTCCCTTTGGCCCTGCCTATTCACATCTGAAACTGAGGACAGAGTCAGCAAAAGGCTCGTGCTGGGACGCCCCGCCCCCATGACCACGCCCCTGCTGGCCTGGGGTTCAGGTCACTTACCCTGGAGGCCTAGTCCAGCCTGCGTCTCGTGGCAGCAGGCTGAGGGGCAGGCGGGGTGGGTGGGAGAAGTCAAGTGCAGCGGGAAGAGGCAGGCACGGAGGTGCCGAGGGGTGGTCGGGATGGGGCGCTGGGGCCTGTCGCTGTAGAGGGCCGGCCGCCTGGCGTCGCTGGCGCGGAGCTTGGGCTCTGGTGCCCTCCCTGTGTAGCTGGAAGAGTTTGAGCGCATGCAGGCAGGCAGCAGGCAAGGCCTACCCGAGGCAGTGCACAGCGGCAGGTGTTCAGGAACAGGGTGGGAGTGTGCGGGGCTCGGGTGCCGCCCCGCAGGCCCCCGCAGGCCCCGAGGATGAGCGGCGGGCCTTACCGGCTGGGCCAGGTGCGCACAGGGGCCGACTGCGGAGCGGCGGAGGTCAGCGGCCACCTCCCGCCGCCCCCTCCCGGCGAAAAGCTCTCGTCCGCCGCCGCGGCCACGAAGCCCGTAGCCGGCGCCCGCCTAGCAGGCGGACGCCGGCGAACTCGGCCCGCGGGACCCGTGCTGCGCGCTGGCCCCGCCCTCCGGCCGCCGCCTGCGCGGGGCGAGACCGGAAGTGACGCAGGGAGCGCGACGGGGGGCGCGAGCGCGGCTCTGTGCTGCCGGGTTCCAGGGGCTGCTTGGCGCCAGCGGCTGCAGGAGGCTTTAGCCTCCTGTGGTTGCCACCTTCGAGCACAGGCTGGGGTTTTGCAGAAAGGGACTTGTCGGGCATGGTGGCACACGCCTGTAGTCCAGAGGCTGAGGCAGGAGGGTCACTGCAAATTCGAGACCGGCCTAGCCTACATAGTGAGCTCAAGGCAGCCTGAACTATAGCGAGACCCTGTCTCAAAAAGGCAATAAATAAATAAATAAAAATAAAATCAGGAACAAGACAAGGATGTCCACTAATACCATTGCTGTTAAATATAGTCCTGGAAACAGAACTCTTGAAGGCATTATGTAGGCAAAGACTTTATGAACAAAACACCACACAGGAGCAATTTTTTTTTTGACGGAACCAGAGATTGAACTCAGACCCTTGCACTTGCTAGGGAAGAGCTTATTCCACTGAGCCATCTCCCCAGCCCCACAGGAGCTATTTTTTAAAGATGAAGAATTATTTTAAGAAATAATGTGAAAAAGCAACATAGAATTTAAAGTATAGTGTTATAACTACCTTTAAAAACTGATAAAAACAAAAAAAACAAAACAAAACACTGATAGGTTCTGGCCCTAGTACAAATTGCTAAATCATCATGGTGGTCATCTAATATGGCAGAAACCCTTAAAACAAAAGCTCATCTTCCGAAGACCACCTCCCCCTTCTTCTCCATCGCAGCCCAGGATGCAGTTTCCTTACACCTTTCCCCCTGCGTCAGCGAAGCCCCCAGTCAGCTCCTCAGATGTATCTTAACATCCCCCTCAAGCCCCGCCCCTGGCAACAGTCCATAAAAGCCTCGGCGTCCCTTTCTTCCAATCCAGAGAATCCTCATCTTCCCAAGATTCTCTCCAAGTGCTCAGAGATAATAAAGACCCTTTCCCTTTTTTTCTTCTGCCTGTTTCTCCGCTGCACCAGTGCCTGAATAAAAAACAAACAAACAAACAAACAAACATAAAAACTACACAGAAAAGTAGCAAAAAGAGCAAACTTTTATCCGGGTTTCCAGGACACAGTGATGTGGGCTGGAAGACAGATTGTCTCCAGGCAACTTCACCAGGTACGCTTCCCCTTGCCCCATGCAGCCTGTGCATCTGACAAGGGAAAAATGCTTTCCTTCCCCAGGCCATCTCATTCCTGAGCTGACAACAGGATTGCAGAAAGAACGGACACGAAGGATAGGGCAAACTAGCTAAGGGAACCACATAGATTTCTTTTTTTTTTTTTTTTAAAGAAGTTCTCCTGAGTCTTTTTTTTTATTCATTGTGTGTGTGTGTGTGTGTGTGTGTGTGTGTGTGTGTGGCCAGCTCAGCCCACCAGGGGGCGGGACTGGCTGGCATGTGGTGCTGGGGGATCGAACCGCGGTCCCTGTGCTTTGCCAAGCTTGTTCCAAGTAGGTGCT